TCAACGATGAATATCTCGTTAGTCCAATAGCCGACGTAACCTTTCTGAAACAATGATTTATATTTAAAAATACGAACTCGATCTCCAACTTTGAATTTGGCTTTAATATTCAAATTGCTAATCTCGTTTTCAAAGTTGTTTCGAGTGTTGACGGACTTTATGATATTCGGGTTATTAGAGGCTTGGGATGGCGTCAGACCTATAGACGAATGTATTTTGTTATTGTATTCGTCGACAACAACCGGTAATATTTTAAGCCATTTTTGAGATTTCAATTCCGTGAATTTCTTGAATAATTTGCTTTTAAGAGTCCTGTTGAATCTTTCTATCACTACGGCTTTACCTTCGTTATGCGTGCTGTAAATTTCAAACCCCAGAGATTTCACATTTCTGTTGTAGAATTCGCTTCATTTATCAACCAACAACTTTAGGGGTCGTCTGTCGGATTGTTTCATTATGGTTTCGAATGCTTGTTTGACAGTCAGACCCGATTTGTTTTTCAAGGGAAAGACCCAAGCGTATCTCGTGTATATGTCGATCACCGTCAAACAATACTTGTACCCTCTCTCGACTGGCATGTTGATTAAATCGGCTGACCAAATTTCATCTTTATCAAAAACTTTGACTTTGAGGTAATGTTTGTTTTTTCGAAATTCTTTGTGAATCTCGTCTGCTATGCCCATACCCAATTTCAATTTTGCCTTCAAGAGTTTAATGATAAGAGCCCTTTGTAATTTCTCTTTGAAAGTGGGATTTGGAATATTTTCGAGTTCGTCTATCATTTGTTTGTCTGCTTGGTGTCTGAATGTTACGTCTTTATTTCTGTACAGTATGTCGTGTTTGAGCGCTGCTGCGTCAACTCTATTAACGGGTTCTTCCCCTGGTTTAGGATTATCATTTTCGTCTAAACGCAGATCTAATCTCGTGCCTGGACCTGTATAATTATGGCCTGGGAGATGTTTTTCTCCGGGATATTTTGCCCATGGGAATCCAGGAAGAGAACCCAATGACTTTTGAATGTCTCCCGCACCGAAATACGTTTTAGGGCTTTGTGCAATTATCATTGACATTTTTATCCAATATTTTTAAAACCATTGCCTTTTTTGTTTTCTAATCTTTTATTTCGCATTTCTCTTATATGCTCCTGAGGAAATGAGGGATTTGTTGTTTGAGACAAAATTGGCCACTTTGGGGATGAGAGGTGTTAGCGCAGAGAAGAAACCATCTCCTTCGAATTTTTTTTGTTCGTGTTTTAAAATTAAAGACATTTTTAATGCGGTTATTTTTTACTGTATTATTATTAGTGATGTGTGGTTTGGGTAATTTATAATTGGGGAGTTTGTTATAATACAGTTTGGAGGAGTGTGTTATAATACAGTTTGGGGAGTCTGTTATAATACATTTTAACAGTTGTGTCTTTTCGGATATGATGCATTGAAAAAGCTGCGCATGCGCAGAAGTGAAATGCGTCATATCCGAAAAGACATATACTACTCATACAAACTTTGCCTTACTCGTTTTCCTGACAAATAACGTAAGATTACAAACACGTGTCGTTCTGGATCTGTTCGAAACAATTTACTTAACAATCTAATACATTGGATTTTTTGTTTTGTGTAACATGTCGTCCAGCCCATATATTTCGACCAACCCCACCCCCTCCCCTCGGACGTTAACCTGGATCCACCCACTGCTGCTGTCATAATAGATTATTACTTTTAATGCAAATGTCTTCAAAGACGAACTTTCAATCATTCATTGTACATAAACAAAACAAAGTTATAACTTTTCAATGCGACTTTCCATTAAAACAAAGAAGCAAAAATACTAACGCTATCTATAAACGATACTCAGGAGCAGCGAATACTGGGTGGGAAAAAATACTAATGAAAGACGAACTGTTTTCTCATGAAGTCGAACAATAGCCAATTGAAGTGCAAACTAGCGAATGCTTTCATTGTACAGTTTGGTATGAATTGAAGTAAACTCAAATTGTATAGCAACTCAAGCGCAGTGTTTTAATGACAATTATTGAATGATCATAGTCTTTTCTTTATGTTCATCAGGTCTTTTTATTTAGTTTTCGTATTTTCTTTATTTTAAAGATATATTCGCCCAAGATTACTCCATAATAATTGCTCAGAAGTGAAATATACGAAGCATGATTTTGGAAACATGTTTTGGGCTGAATCAATCCTATAACCAATTCGCATATCATTAACATTTTGTCCTGTACAGGAATGACTTGTAGATTTATTTATAGATGTAGATTGTGGCAGGCTTCCTTTAGATATAGCTTTTATCTTCGATCTTCTGTTCGGATTGTAATGATTGATGGCCCTGTAAATCTGAATAACGTCCGAATGAATCCTACCTCTGCATGCCTAACTGAGAGATAAGAAGTAGATCACATACACAAAAGCCAACAAAACGATACGAATATATATTGTACAGAAACGGGAAACCAAGCTTTAAAATCACCTATAAAATGAGAATGAAATTTATTTGCTGTAATTTGTAAATTATTGTTAATGACTTTAACCTTTTGACTGAGCATTGTGACCATGTATATTAAATATTTATAATATTTTATTATCTTAAGGTTTTTATACATCTTATAATAAAGATTTGTGTGCAGAGCTGTCCATCTTCAATGCACAACACCCAAACGACTATAACAAAAAAACGATGTGTTAGACCCGACTCCCTTTTACATCTTTAAGGCTAGCAACGTCGTTCAGAGCATTTATTGAATATTCACCAGATACTTGATGACTATATAGTGTATATATTGTGAATTTATCAATTCGTGCCCTGCCAATTGAAAACATGAAGGATGTACTATTTGTGTAATTAAATTACATGTTATGATATTGTGCAGTCACATGCCTAGGGCTGTTTTATCAAATTTTATGACTAATTGATGAAGTATCATCGCTGACTAGTTTTATAGTACAATTGCTTTTTGCAAATAACTCTTTCTTATATCTTTTGGATTAAAAGGAACTTGTGACGCTATGGATTATTGCGACATTTTCTAACCCTAAAGTCATTTTGTATCCCAAGGCATGTTACTAATGTGTGCGGGAATTAGATTGCCACAGGCAGGACAACAAACTAAAATTTGATAACGTATCGATTGTTATTGTACTAAAACAAATGATGGAAGATTATATTCTATCATTGATTGATTATTTGACATTTCAATAAACCAGTGTATTTCTAATAGGTTTATTACTTGATCACACTGACCTTTAAATCACCAACACACGTGGCGTCTTCATAAAGGTGATTCTAATCTGGAGAAAGTGACTATGTTTAGATCTGTCTTCAGTTTGTACTGATTATATTTGTGCATTGTGATTTGGCATATTGGCGTTTAGAGTTCGAACTTGAACTGAACCTGGATAACCCACTCGATAAATTCTGACAGTGCGCAATGTTATATGGTGCAATACTATACTTTGGACTTTGACCTTGAGCATCTTGGTTACTTCCGGTTACCTCAAAAATTTGTAGTCATTTAATCTTTGAATAGGACAGATTATCTCAATGTAAACAAGGAAAATTAATATTAGGAGGAAAACTCCGACTTCACACGAATATTGTGCATTTTTGTGTGTATCTGATAAGACGTAGACTGTTTTCATGTATAGTTTGTTTTGTTACATAAATCTCGAGATATTGCTACAAGTTTTATTGATAAGAAGTTAAATGTTGTTTGGATGGTAAAAAAACTACAAAAGAAACCGACAATGTGTGTGGTATTCTAGTCCAATGTGTTTTAGAAATTTTCACCTGCAATTTAAAGCCAAGAAAGAATGTCGTTTTACATTTTGAAGTACCAAATAACACCGGAAGAAGGATTTTATTTTAGTTTCTAGGAGTGAAATGTAAATAGTTTTTCTTTCAATTTGACTTAACAGAATCGAATGACTATATAATACGGAAAAAGGATATGAAATAGTTGATTTTAAAAATATGTTATGAATAACTAATCAGGATACAGGGAAGTTTTAAACTGAATTGATTGAAATATATAATTAGGCCTTGATCACAAAAAAGGACAAATGACTCACTGCTTGGCGATTTTGAATTTGGACATAACGTTCAGATTGACTTATCAATTATCTAATTACAGTAGAAATGCTTAAACAGTTGCTGTCTACGTGTACATGGTTTCAAATAAAAAAAATGCCTCCGGTCAAACTTAACATTGACATTTACAGTTTAAATAATCATCTACATTACATGCCGTTGTGGAAAAATATAGATGCATTACATATGAGCATATATCACTTGAATTGACAAAACTATATAAGCATTAAATGTGAGTCATAACGTTTATCATAAGATGATTACCAATTAAAAACAATCATATTTTTTCAATATGATAATAAGCGTAACCCCCGTTTGGGTTAATAGTGCATAATGAAATAATGAACTATATTCGCTTACAAAGCAAAATCTCATTTGATAATAATGAGAATTATAACCATTCTATTCATGATAAATGTCTGAAAGTGATAAGATTGTTTGATAAATATTTTTAAATTATGATGGAAGGTTTGTTTGATTATCGAATAGAAGGTTCTTGCAAACTGTGATCGAGATTCCGACTGATCAACTTGGAGAAAATTTGTTCACAATTTGATTCTTTTGAGCCATTGAATGGAAATTGGTAACATTTGTTGTGATTTAAACTTGATCAGATGCCATTTTCTAAGCATTATTC